TTTTAAATAAAAATCATGTGTCTCTCTGTGTATATATTCCATCCCTTCCTTCGCTTGCTGTCCTGTATGACAGTGCATCAGAGGGGAAAGATGATTCACCATCTAAAGCTCCCAGCTGTTAGCTTTGACTCCAAACCTCTGTTATCTAAGCTACCTGATTCACGCACACCTATTACCTCTCATCCCTTGTCCTGTGAAAGATGGATTCCCCTCAGATTGTAGAGTGTTAGTTCTCCTGTCTCTTCCTGTGGCCTCCTCCCTGTACTGCTTTTGCCAAAATCACCTCAGGCGATGCATATGCGACCTGTCTCTGCTGGCGCTCGCATAATCTGTTAGTTGTTTTCAGCAGACACTGGCCCTGTATGTTCATATCCTCTGCTCTGGCATTGAGCCACACGAGCAGGGAAGAGGACAAAGAGGCAGAAGATCTAGCATTATTTGTAGACAAAACAATCTTTGAGCCTCAGAGCGAGTTGTTGTTCTGGTTCCTTAGTTTCTTAAGTAGATTTATCTCAATTTGTCTCTGAACCTGTGTTGTCTAGTTTTATAGGGATATTGTAGGGGTACAGTACTGGCTATACAAACTACAACAATGGCTGCTTTATGTTATAACATGATGTCATGATCTTGTCATCTCCTAGTGGGTATATTAGGAATGTGGACGAGGAATAGCACAGCCTTCTTTCTCTGTCTGTTGAAGAGACATTAACAGAAACTGTCGTTGTTAATCCTTGATGTAAATCAGCAGGCAGAGCTTCTCATGCACAGGAATTTAATAGACCTCGAGCAGGACGGAAGGTCTTTCCTGCCTCAGCATGCTCTCCACATTTACTCTGTCTAAATCTGTCATTCTGATTAACTTAAAGTTTGGCGCTTACTCTTTTTCTTTTACTAGTTTTAGAACTTTTTTTTGTAAATCATTGTCCTCTGGAGAAAGGAGTAGCTTTATTTTTACAACCTATGTAACTACATTCAATTCTGTTCAAGAGTAACATACACAATCTTTTGAGTTTATTTCAAACTTAAAGCGTAGTTCTAGGTCTTTTCACAATAAAAGTTTTGTGTAGCTGGAATATATACCGGTATATTCAATAAATTGAATCTAATACCTTTTAAAGGTTGACCGCAGCCAATGCTCCTTAGAAGTTATCTAATAATAATAATAATAATTGAACATCATTGATCTCACACTGGAGAATTGCCCCCCTTGTGGAGCAGTGGGCTGCTACTGTGCGGCGCCTGGTGATGAATTGGGGGTTAAGGGTCTTGCTCAGAGACCAGAGTCCAGGCTGTGGGAACTAACCGAGTTCTTCCAACTTTCTCAGACCACAAGCGCACTGCTCTAACCACTAGACCCTCCCTGCCAACAAAATCTAATAGGAAAGTGGAGTTTATCTCAGTTTGAATGCAGCTCTTATTCGTCCATAAGCCGGGCTTACACTGTGCAATTTTTTATTTTTTTTGCCTTTTTCAGTCGTGCGAGAATTTTTCGAGCGGCCCAACTTTTAGCCTGATCGTATGTCGTGCGTCATGTAGTGTACAGGAGTTAACGAGGAGCGATCAACCTCTCATGATCACCTCCTGATCAGGAATCGTAAGGTCGGGAAAAAATCAAACATGTTTGATTTTCAGTCGCTTGTCATGGGCAAATTGCTTGATGCGCAAACAAGGATTCTTCTTCTTCTTCTCCGATGAAAACACAGAATCATGGCGAGGGTGCAAGTGAAAAGGAGTTCTTTCTGTATAATTGACAGACTGTAGTAGCCACGTTTGCTCAGCCATGTTTTTGTCCAAATACGTTGTTGCCTTTTCTTTTTTAGGGCTTTGGGCACAAACTTGCAAAAATTCTAAGGCAGCGCGTTTCACTCTAGCGAGCTTCATATTCCTCTTCTACTCGTTTGGCTTCCAGATAGATGAGTCCGAGTAGTGCCATCTCACATGTGGTTTTTAGACGTAGAGTGTGAGCAGGTAGATCGCATCAGAGTGTCGTGCTGAACATGCATCATGACCTGTGAACTCACACTGAAAACGCAGGGTTTTACTGTACAGTGTGAGCTGTAGCTGTGTGTAACGATTGAAAAAATCTCACAGTGTATGCCCGGTGTAGGTACCAGATCTGCTCGGGGCCCTGCCCCTTTTTACGACGTCAACATATGGCAACTCCACTTGGACAAACTGTATTGTACCCGTTTCTTAAAGATCAAATCTCTTTTGGAGTCTCAACATATTATTACCTATTTTTCCCATGATTTTACATTTGTTTGGTGATCTAAAGGTTCGAAAATAGAATCATTCTAAGTCTTGAAAGAAAGTACTGACTTCTAAGATTGAGCTCTGCCATTTAACAAGATGCAAAAAAACATTTTTTAGCTTATTTTTATTCTTTTTATTAAGATCTGAGTACAGGAAGGACAAATGAAACATCTCAAAAATGACTTTCGCTGAGATTTTGGACAAATAAAACAGTTATTTTACCTGTAGAAAACAAATGGTTATTGTTTACACGACGTTAAAAGTAGTGTTGCTTAATATTGCTAACTGACCAAGCTAAAAGAGGCTAACCTGTTAGCTACAGAGCACAGCTAACCACAGCGCTCTTTATATGATGGTCTAACAGTTACTTTGTTCACAATAAACAGATTTTTTTTTTCAGTTTTGTTATCGATCAGGTAAAACTTCATCAGTCATTAGACACGCTAACACTACAGATTCTCGCGACTCTGCACACTGACGCTGCGTGATGTTATGATCGTTGTCTGGGCAACCATGTTTTACATCATGTGGCAAGATTCAACCAATTATGTAGCGTAACGCCACTGGCATGCACTTGACCCGAGCAGATCTGGTAGCTACGCCAGCTTTAGAGGTATGTTTCAGATTATAGGTTAAAAATCAACAATAATGACAAAATCAGCTTCACTCAGACCAGTAAAGACAGTATTTAGAATAATGGCTTCACCTGCTAAACCATTGTATCCTCCTAAACCATTAGACTATGGCATTAATCAGAAACAAGGCTCATGATTGGTTTAGTGATGGCTTAGTAAAATAACTCAGCAAAATGAGTGAAAATGCAGGAGGAGAACTTTTTGGGATGCATGCAAATGCTTTTTGTGGATCATGCTGTGCAGAAGCTTTCCTTTAATAGAAACAGAAAAGAAATCAGAGTTGATTTTGGCATCGAAACAAGGACATTGTTGGCTGCAAAATACTTGAAACTTTGGTGGAGTTTCTGCTTCCAGCAGGACAGCAACTCATACAAACAGGGAAACAATAAAGTTTACATCTAAAACGTGTTCATCCGTTAAGCTTTCCCCTTCAAATAACAGATGAAACTTCAGTTTCTGCAAAGTTTTTATTCAGAGGGGCTGGATAGAAATTCATGCTACAGTTCTTCAATTTTATTTGTAGAGAAGCTTTGAAAACATCTAACCCCAGAAATAATAGTTTTAACTAAAAGTATGCATATATTCACACAGAAGGTTACAAAGGGGTCAAATATCACAATAATATATCCCACAAAAAACATCTATTTCCAAATAAACAACATATGCAAATACAGCAGTATCTGTATTATTGAGGCTGTGCACCATCACCTCCAACAACTTAGCAGTGAAATTAAAATGCTTCAACAAATTCAGACCCCGTTTCGGTGAACGCCATCGTTCAATGTAGTATTCTGAGCTCTACTCTTGTTTTATCCCTCTCGACATCCAACATCCTTCTGCACTTTTTCCCCCTTGATCTTGGACTTTTCCTCTTTTCTTTCTCTTCCCTCTGGTGGGCATTGCTGACTGACTCTGCTTTGATTACAGATTGCAATGACAAAGTGTAAAATGTGGAAGTCAGATATATTAACCAAACAAGTGTTCACAATTTGATTGGAGGACTTTTGTATACAGCCAGATGCAGCTGGCTCTACGTTTTCAGCTGGCTACAGATGCCCCCACCCCACCCCCAACCCCTTTCCTGCTTCAACAAATCCATAAAGCCTGATTTATACTCAGAAACCAGGTCGTCTGTGTCTGTCATAGGTGACCGCAGACAGGAGGCCTCTGATTGGTCAAATCTACATCCGCTCTACCCTATGCGTATTGCCTGTTTGGTATCTTATCGGCTTGTTTTGTTTGTGTGACCGCCATTGTGGAAAACGACTCATGAAGTTGGACCAACTAGAAGAGCGAGGTGTGCAAGAACGCTGGGACCCTTTTTCCACCTGAATCCCACACTTTTTTGCCCTCATGTCCCTCCGTTCTCGCACAAACTTGCCCCTACTTCCTCATCGCCTTGCCCGTATCTAGACTCACAGCTAGTTCGTGAATATCCCTCCAGCGTTTTAGCTTGGAATAACATAGCGCAGACCACACTTCAATATTGGGCATCAATCAAAAAAGTCTGCGTCATACCTGCGACAAACTCACTGCGACACACTGCTGCGGGAGTATAACCAGCCCTTTAGTCTCTGGCGCTCAGACCTTCGCAGGAAACATTAGCGCTGATTTTTGTTTTGATATGCATGAACAGGAGTAAAGAACAGGGATGTTTCCCCCCCAGGCCTGAAACGGGGGGTGGAGAAGGATGAAGTTGGTCAGTCCATGACTGCTGGTTGGCGAGTAAGGTTGCTTAAGCTGTATGGAGAGATCCAGTGGGCTGTGTGGGATTATTCTAGCGCTTCAGTCGGGGACCTGGGAAATGGAAGTCCAGCTTGGATGACACAGGTTGTAACCAGCCCTTAAGTGTGCTCAGTCTTTAACTTATTCTGATCAAGAGAGGCTTCACTCAAAATGTCTTGAAACTTTTATTTTGACAATTAAGGTTGGTTTAAAAAAAGAATCCTATATTTGTTTCTTTTTTTAATACATATTCATTAAAGGCAATCTATATTTAATATTTAAACTTTCTGTGATGTGTAGAAAAACTGTCAACATCATTTTTCCTTAATCAAATTCATTTGCTCACTGAAGCATGTTTTTTTCTTCTTCTTCTTTTTCTTCTTTTAGGAATGTCTGCTGACATAGTTAACGACCTGCTTACTGGTGTTTGTGGAGTTTTTCCAGGAGAAGAGAATCAGCCATGGATGCGGACGAGTTTCCTCCCCCGCCTCCTGAAAGTAAAGTCAACAGAACTTCTGTACACATACAACATGTGCTCTGAGCAGTATCTGGAACACGATGGGGGAACATTTGTAGCAGGGGCCGGTTAGCTCAGTTGGTTAGAGCGTGGTGCTAATAACGCCAAGGTCGCGGGTTCGATCCCCGTACGGGCCAGATATTTAAAATACCGTCTTTTACAGACTGTAGCAGATCAGATTACATTTACATTCTACCCACAGATATACTTAGTATGAGTAACCACCCTACTTACTTAGTATATTTCAAAAACTAGATGTGACCTAGCTTGATTCCTTTGGTGTTTGTTGATAATTTGAGATGAATCATGCGTACTGTATGTGTATTACTGTTTATTTGAATCGTTGGATTTTAATTGAGTTATGCTGTTTGTTGTATGTTTATTAGAGGTAAAAACACATGCCGCTATAAAAAGCAGCTAAAAGTAAGCTCGAAGTAACTGCTATTTAATGTTTCAAACTAAGATTATCGTATTTTGTAGAAATAACATAAATTTGGCTTTTTTTATTTATTAATTCAGGGTTCCCGCGGGTCCTTAAAAAGTCTTAAAAGGCATTGAATTCTTCAAAATAAAACTAAGGCCTTAATTGGTATTAAAATGTCTTAAATTAGTCTTTCGTAGGTCTTAAAACATCATAAATAGGATTATTTTTATTAC